GAGAGAGAGAGAGATTTCATGATCCCATACCATCTGGCCATTGGTGAGCAACGGAACTTGAGGCAACGTGTGTACAACTTGAGGCATGTCAGCATCTCCAGCCCTGCCATAGCTCATATGACCTTGAAGCATGGCCTCTGCGAGATATTGCATATCCTGATTGTCCCTGTCCCCGAAATTGAACTCATTTTCGAGATCATCCACATCCTCTTCCTCCTCATCACCTGCTACTCTTGCACTCCCTGAAAAGAACCCAACCATTTCAGAATTGCACAAAAAAAACCCCAAAATGAAAAGAGAGAAAGCAGAGAGCGAGATCCATTGAGAACCCACTTACCTTTGAGGCGTCTGAACCTGGTCTTGCATTGAGGGCACACTTGGTTTCCTTCTCTGCGTTCATATTCATAGCAAGTTCTACAAACTGGGAAGGCACACTCATTGCAGGCCACAAAGAGCTCGCCGTCCGCTGTTAAACCAACATCATCACCACAAATCTGGCAAATTTGGCCGCTCAACTGCTGCAAGGGCCTTGGCTGTAGCTCCAGAAAACAACCAAAATTAGATCCAATTCCCCAACAAACAAACCAACCTCAGGAACCCTACATTTTGAGAAAAAGAGAGAGAGAGAGTAGAGAGAAACCAGTTTTCAATCAATGTCAAAGGAAATGAGTGAGATACAGCGAGCGAGAGAATATAGTGAGGAAAAGGCATCATTTTGAATCAAGGAAGAAAATGAGGAGTGAAAAGCTGTGAGAAATAAAATGTGTGTGATATATAGAGAAAGAGACCCCATTGCTGAATGAAGAAGAAACAAGAGAAACCCCACATGGTGGGTGCTCAAAACCCTAATTATACTCAATCCCAAGGCCTCCATTAACCAAAACCCAGAACTTACTCCAGATTCGCCTTCCCGTCTTATGACCACCAACTCATTCCTATTGTGAGAGCCTGCAACCAAACCAGCGCTGGCCTCCATCGCTTCAAAGCTTGAGCAAAACTAGGGCTTTTTTACCCCACAGATCTGAGCCCCTCTGCGATAAACAAACCCAGAAATAATGGATCCAATACTTCACATTTGAGACCAAAACAGGGCTTTTTCTCTGCAACTCAAGCCTCGAACTCCCCCATTTGGGTACCTTTGGGGAAGTTCTATAGAAAGAACCAAAAGCCCATTCTTATTCCTTGCTTCTCACCCATAAAAGAACTCCCTTTTCTTAGTAAAAATGTATAGAGAGAGAGAGAATAATGAACCCTAGAGTTAGAGAGAGAGAAGCCCCATCTCTCTGCAACCTTCACCTGCCACTCGTTCCACCCTTTATCAACATCTCCGCCGACACAGCTAATGCGTCAAATATCTATCCCCCCACAAAGCGAGTTTAAAGAGAGCGGAGTAAATGGGTAAGCGTCTTTACTCCCAGCTGGTTTCACAGAAAGGCAATTTAGAGTGAGAAAGTGAAATGGGGTAAGAGTGTTTTTTTTTTCACAAAAAGCCAGTTTAGAGAGAGAAAGTGATGTGGGGTAAGCGTTTAGAATCGACTGGTTTTAACCCACAGGTCAATGACCCAAAATTGGAGATAAGAGAGAGAGAGAGAGAAACAGTCTTTGTTTTTCTTAGACATGGGTGATCACAGAATTCAAGTGGTGAAAAACCCATCAAAATTAAAAGCAGAGTTAAGAAAGATGGATGATTTTCTCTCAATAAATGTTCACAGAAAACAAGCAACAGTGCACCCATAAAAATGAAGCAAAACCCGACGGCCAAAGCAGTGAGAGAGAGAGAGAAGGAGGGTAAAAAGAGGCAGGAAAACAGACCTGCACATGCGGGTTCAGCAGTCACATCGGAAGCCCCACTTCTCTCTCTCCCCTCACCCTATCTTCTCTCTCTTCTTTCTCTCTCCTCGCCCTCCGTTCTCTCTTTCTCTCTCTCGGGCAGCGACCCGTTTGATGCGTTGTTGCTGCCCGCCACAAGCGGCCCCACCCACTCTCCTCTCTGTCTTCATCACTCTCTCTCTAGATCATTTGTGACTTTCTCTCTCCCCTTCACTCTGTCTTCATCTCTCTCTCTCTAGATCATTTATGCTTTCTCTCTCCTCTTCACTCTGACCACGGCACTGTTCCTTATTCCTCACTCTAGATTATCTTTCCACCCTCTCTCCGTACTTGACCCCAAAGTCCAATAAACAGCTGTCTCACTCTCTCTCTCTTCTTTCTCTCTCTAAAAAGTTATAAAGAACTCAAGTCTTCTCTACTCTCTCTCTCTCTTCTCTCTCTCTCTAAAAAGTTCTAAACAACTCAGCTCTCTTCTTTTGACTCACTTTACTAAACACGTATTGATTCTTGACTTTTCTTTCCTCCCACTACAACCCATTTTTGGGTATGATACGGCAATTACCCTTGTTATTTTCTCTCTCTAATCAATATTGCCATTTAGGTTTTCTCTCTCCTCTTTTTCTCCTGTCCGATTTGCAGGATTTTCTCTCTCCTCTTTTTCCTCTGTCCGATTTGTAGGATTTTCTCTCTCCTCTTTTCTTCTGTCCGATTTGTAGGATTTTCTCTCTCCTCTTTTTGCCCTTTTCAGTTTCAAGAAACCACTTTTTTATATTAAATATGGAAGAAAATTGTGTGGAAAATTTCTTAATTTTCAGTTTTGGAAAACCACTTTCCCCCTACATAAAATATAAAAGTATTATGTGAAAAATATATTTATAACGAGTCCTCGTAGATTTTCTCCCTCTTACCCCTTTTTCTTGATATATAAAATATTCAAATCTGAAAAAATATTTAATTTTTTCATTTTTAGAGAAAACCTTTTTCGAAAAAAGGTTAGCACCAAAAACTAACAATGGATTTCAAGTACTAAGTAGTGTGCCTTGTATCGCATTATCTTAATGATCTAACTTCAAGTTTTCTAGATTTCAACGATTTCTCCGCTAGACTGGTTCTGAACCTTCAAATTTCAACATCAGAATGAAGAAATATAGATTTTCAAGCTATGACAAGGTTTTCTGACACAATAAATACTTTAAATTTAATTTTGATGCTCAATTTTGTTTTTATTTGATTTTTATCATAAACTCACAATATTTTCTAGAAATATAATAGTTCTTGAGAGAGAGAGGTTTTTTATTCATCCTTACAAACTTTAAAAACTTTAAATCCAACTACTACTCCCTAAAAAAAATTCATGCAATTATCAAAATTTTATATTTTATATCATTGAGAAAGAGAGGAGATGATAATAAAACTCAGTGTTGCCGATGAACGTCGCCATTCTAGAGAGAGTAAGTTGGAATTGTTCAATGAGATAGATACACCATGGTGACAGTGAATTAAATCCTTACTCCAGTCACGATAACTGTTTGAGAGAAAAATAATTGAATGGGAAATAAAGCTCATAATTTAACCAGTTAATTAGGGCTGGCGATGCATCGGGCTTGGGCTGAGCCCCTAGCCGAGCCCTATTCCCCTCGGACCCTGCCCTGGCCCTATTCACACCCGGAAAGTAAAACTAAAGAAAAACAATGGAAAAAAAGATAAAGAAATAACGATAGCGGAGCCGGCCTTATCATGGCCTAAGCCCTAGTTTTTCAGGGCAGAACAGGCCAGGAGACCCGACCCATTGCTGCCCCTACAGTTAATACAGCAATTTACTCCAATCCAAAGACGATGCATTGAGAAGGGATTAACAAAAATGTTTGATGGTTAAGAGTAAGTAATAGACCACACAACGAATTACTTGATTAATTAACCCAATAAAAGAGAGAGAGAGAGAGAGTGAGTGAGGAGCAAGTAATAGACCACACAACGAATCACTTAATTAATTAACCCAATAGAAAGAGAGAGAGAGGTGCAAGCAATAGACCACACAACTAATCACTTATTTAATTTAACACAATAAGAGAGAGAGAGGGAGAGTTAAGGTTAGAAAGGGGTGCATTTTTTGAGAGAGAGAGAGAGTTAAGGTCAAATAGGGGTGCATTTTTTCTTTATCGTATACATTACGACTAATTTATTTGACAAAAGCATTTTTTTCCATTTAAAGTCAATAATATGGCTGGCTTCTATTTATTTAAGCATCGTTAATGAAAAAGTCATCCACCATTGTATCCTAATTATTTATTGATGAATACTTTATTTTTTATCAATTTAGTTAAAACAGGGTTTTCATATGTTAGTTGGTTTGTCATATACTTGACCCCCTAGGGTTCATGTATCTCGTAATTTCTTCAACTAATAGACAAAACAATAAAGGAACATGGTTTGATATCAAAATAAATACAGCCTCACATCATAAGTGATAAAACAAAAAAGGAACATGGTTTGATATCAAAATAAATACAGCCTCACATCATAACTGATTGAAAATTACAATTCAAGCACTAGAAAACGTTTACATCGATCATCTCGGCTTTAACATTATGGTTGCGAAAAAAATTAGGATTTCAAACTCTACAAATAATGTATATTGTAACAAATTAGCTAGACCATCTATTTCTCCATAAAAATAAGCATTCGAAGATCGACAAGATTTGTACATTTTTTGTTTCACATTTTATTGTCAGTGTTTAAATTTGAGTTTAAACCCATTTTGAAGATTTCCATCGCCAAAACTGTTTTCTAGAAGAGAATTTGATAGGTTTTATTTTGTTTGCGTAAAACCTAGGCCTTATAGAAACTTCATAAATAAATAAATAAATAAAACTCTCTCCTCAAATAACCGAAAAAACATCTCTCTCTCAATGTGATAACTTTTGGAATTTAATTCCAATCAATGGCGTATTCTCCAATATTAGAAACTCAATATTGACCCAACTAGTTTTTTTGAAATTTCCCTTCACTTTATTCATGTGATTAGAAACCTAACTTCACAAAAAAATATGGAAAAACCGAAAATCTAAAATTTAGTCTCAATTGAATAGTATCACAAGAAAACCTCATTTTGCACACGTAATACATAATTTAAAAACTATAAAAACTTGTTGAAATGTCATGCTCTAATGAATCAAATTCCAAATTAAAATAATAACAAATATATTTATCATACTCGTCTCAAAGATGCTTTCTTCTATGGATCACTTCTTTATTATTTGGGGGGATTTTTTGGATCACTAGTTAGGTAATGTAAAGACAGGCTCGTAGTAGTTAGTGTGTTGCCCCATGGACCACATGGGTGGTCACAAATGCATCTTCAACTCTAATAATGTTTAAGGGAACAATAGTCTTTTCCTATAGTATTGCATGTCTAAGTATTTATTTCTATTTTCCCTTTGTTTTTATTTGGGTAGGTAATAAAGGATTAATCCAATATCATATTGTTTCTTGCTTCAAACCTTAACCCGTGTTTCCAAACTCATACTCGAACTAAAACCTGCCTGGATCACAAGCTCGAATAAGATAGAGGATAATTTAAATAATTATTATCATCATCATATAAGTTTTATTACGACTATTTGTGATCGGCTACAAGAATCATGTTCCATCTTTTCGATTTATCAATAATCATACTCTCAGCCAAACTATAAATTACCGCATATTTTCATATTATATAAACGCAGGCTCGAATTATGTTCAATGTAACTTTTTGAACCCTATCCACTAATCCAAGAGGTCTAATCTAGAATAATAATAAGGCCATAAAAGTCTTTTTCTTGAAGAGGTTGGACCCTATCGATATAAAGGCAAAAGCAAGGCATTTTTTCAACTTTAAAATGTAACAGCTAAATACTAATATTCAACACGTGCACCGACGATACAAAGCACCGACAGTTCGTGGAGGGGCATTATGGTCTTTTTAGACTGTGGGCTCTATGGTCTTTTTTTTTTTGGTTTAAAGCGCAAGCTTGGAAAATAAATAGATGACCAGGTAAGGGTAAATACGTAAATATAAACCACAGGATACCTAAGTAATAATTTGGAAAAGTTAAGGGTAATTTGGGTAGTTGATGTCCGCTTCGTTTGCGCAAAGGAAAGCCACGT